TTGGGGTGAAACCCGCCGTGCATTGTAAGGAACTTCCTTGTCTTGATGTCAGTGGCCTCTATCTCCTCCTTTGGCCAGGTTATTATGCCAGTATCCTAGTGGTGTGGATCACTAAGTCACTCCTTGTTACCATTCGACCACACTTATCCAGTCCGAATGACATTCCAATGTCCTGGTTGTAGATCCCTGGTGGTGTGGATCAGTGAGTCGATGTCTCGGTCACTCCTGGCATACAGCTTAATGTCATCCATGTAGAGGAGGTGGCTGATGGTTGCTCCATTCTGCAGTCGGTATCTGTAACCACTCTTGCTTATGATCTGGCTGATGGGGTTCAGCCCTATGCAGAACAGCAGCGGGGACAGAGCATCTCCTTGGTAGATACCGCACTTGATGATGACTTGTGTAATTGGCTTGAAGTCGGCCTGTAGGGTTGTTTTCCACATTCCCATTGAGTTCTTGATGAAGGCTCTTAGAGTCCTGTCGATGTTGTACAGTTCCAAGCATTCCAGGATCCATGTGTGAGGCATTGAGTCATAGGTTTTCTTTTAGTCAATCCAGGCAGTGCACAGGTTGGTGTGCCTGGTCTTGAAGTCTCGAGTGACTACTTTATCAACCAGTAGCTGGTGCTTTGCTCGTCAGGTGTTACTACCAATTCCTTTCTAGGCACTGCTCGTGTATTGAGCCATGTGCCTGCTCATCTTAGCTGCTATGATGCCTGACAGGAGCTTCCATGTTGTGTGAAAAATTCCTACCAGTGGCTAACACTTTAACCCACTGGTCTTCTTAAAAGCAAATTTGCTAACAAGCATTTTGTTGACAAGCAAATGTTTGCGTGCTCACATTTCACACCTGTAATCTATCTATAATTAGTGACATCATCAGTAAATTCACACAGGTGTTTCTAAATTAACACCATGATCAACCTTTGAGCAACCTGCACTGCACATTCAAATCACACATAGAAACAATCAAAAATACAAATCCTAAAACTAAATATTAGTTATGTACAAGAAACTATTCAAATATGTCAAAAAATGTACAGTAATAAACATCCCTCTCCTGTGACACATCAAGACTATAAGCATGCCTATAAAAGCGTATTTTTATATGTTAAATGTATAAACAGAGAAAAGTAAAGTACTTTTAAATCAATTTTCAGTGTAGAATATTCTAAATAAATATAACATAAAAGGTATAACAGTATACATTTTAGAGTACATTTTTAAAATACAAATCTGTTAGATTACAGATCTGGAAAGATTATTCAAAAAGCATGAGTTAAGTGAACTTAACATTATACGGAGATATAATACTTAAATCCAGGATTTCATCATTATAGAACCTACATTGCTCATCCTACATCCTACAATGTAATCTTAATATCACGTCTGCATAAAATAAAAGAAGAAAGAATTAACTCCAAATATCTACACAAACCTCAGTAGAACACAAACACATCCCTGTACTGTAACAATGAAGTCTCACTGTCTGTTGAGAGTATAGCCATTAACTGTATGAAGAGGCTTTTAAACAGACCAGGATTAGATGGCAATGCTTTTCCTAAGTGGTCACAGAAGTATGGGGAAAGCATCTAAAAAAAAATAATCAAATAACAGCTTTCACAGTGAGCTGTACTGTAGATTGAACCAAAATATATTAAAGCACTGAGTCCTGTCATTAAAAGCAGCTTTGTAATGTCCTGTTCAGCTGGCACAGGTCTGTGTGTGCATGTATTGTTAGTACCTCTTTCTCCTCTTATGACCTTTTCTATCGCCACTCCTCTCTCCTCTAGGCTTCTTTGTTTCTCTCCGACTTCCTCCAGTTGTCTTTGGATCACCTGGCAATCCAAAAATGTCACATATATATAACA